TCTAGAGCACAGCAAATGCATCCCTATGCACACACACAGCTTGTGCACAGTCATCCTGGCTGAGGAATTTCTTTATACAAATAACCGTATCTCACTCAATAATAATAAAGTTGCCAGATTACAGCTCAACAAATGCCAAGAGAGCGCTGCAGATTTGCCTGCAGTTTAGCATTCAAATCCTTAGCACTGCAGTGGGTAACAGGAATTTTGAAGGCTAGCTATTATCCCTAGCCTGCAGGCTGCTCCCACAGCACCGTATATGGCCTATATTCAGGTGTGGAGTGGGCTGCAACTGACTTGGCCTCCATCAGTGGACCATGAGGGGTGGGGTTTTTATCTATTTCTTTTCTTTTTTGTTGTTGTTTACTTCTCAACTAGTAATTTCCCCAAGATATGATGCCTAACGATCTGACTATCCATGATATGCTTCAAATACTGGAATACATTACACTGTACGAAGGCCCTACGGTGATTTGCTAATTAGCTTAACCCTCATGGGACATAGAAAAAAGAAATTTTTATTAAAACAGGATAACCCTGGACTATATTGATCTGACTGAGAAATGAGTATTTTAGTCAAGATGAGTCTCAAGATGAGTACATGCTGGAAATGGTGATGCTGTTTCCATAGCAATGCCATGACAGCCTCTGGAGTGAAATAGTGTGCTATCAGGAAATGAAGGGAGTTCAAGTGCTATGAGCTACATAGTTCTGTGAGCAATCCAAATACATTCTCATGAAGAATATCTACTACAGTTAGATTGTCCAAAGATTGCTGCTGATGTGAAGTAAATCTTACCAGTATGCTTCCAGCAGTCCTGTTTTCTCATTCACTACACGCAAGATGACCTACCTAAATGCTTAAGCTATAGGCAACACCAAGTCATTTCAGACCGAACATTAACAAATACAGTAACCTTTACCTCACTTCTTTTCCAGTGAAGAATATAATCCATAATTAAGGACTTCAACTCATTCTCTGCAACACAACCAAACACATTAAACCTTTTAGCAAAGAAAAGCCTCGTATGTGCAATTATTTACCAGCCGACCTTCTTTTCCCCTTCCTTTTTTCTCACTTCTTCCTGCTCAAATGATACTGAGTAAATCTGCTTGCAAGTCGGAAGCAATGTAGAGGAGTCTTGTATGTTCCTCATGAAAATTCACACAGCCATAGCATAAAACTCACTTGTCTGTTTTTTACCCCAGTTGCTGTTTAAGCTAATACAAAAGCAAACCAGGAAACCACTAATTGTATTTTATTTGCCTAAGGCTTTACCCAAGGCAAGTATCCTGGTCAAACTCTGCATAGCTGATTTAAAATGTTTTCAAAAGGAGACAGAATGAAAGTAAAATCTGCATTACTTTGTCTTTTGTCTTCAAAGAAATGAACAATTTTCAGTGATTTGTAAAACTGCTAAAATAATGATTATAACCCAACTGTTCTCAAATCAAATTCGACAAGACAAAGTACTTTACTTGAAAAACACCCTAACATACCACTTCTATTCCATTCTTTCTCCAGCCTTTCCTATGCAATTTGTAAAGATGTTCAAACATGAGTTGAATGTCCAGAAACCCTACCACTGTGTCTGTTGTTTGTGTCATTGTCACAACCAGCCTCTTGGGTAAACAGATTGTAGTTCATTATATGTAGCAGTGCTGCCTCTGAGGGAAAATAGAAAGACAAACACACATCACTGCCAGATCCCTTATTAACAAACACCACTTCATCCCAAAATGGCTTATATTTATTGTTTTAAAGATGTATTTCAAGGAATCAAGCCTTGCATGTAAACCAGCAAATGCTTCATTTCCATATTGCATCTATCAAAAAGATGTGAAGCAAGCATTTTCAGAACTGCCTGAGCCTCCTCCTGCCTGTCCCCTTAAGCTGCAGAAGGCACCAAGCCCAGCAACATTCATTTATAATTGAAACTGTTTGCTTGGCAGAAATTTTTCATCTTAGTGTGTCATAATTGCAACCAGGATACCCAAAGTCTTTATCAGAAGTTCATCTACTCCCAGGAGAGTTTTATTCAACTGGGTATTCTATAGGACAGAAATGCAGTTTCCTTATGGGACAGATACTGAAATCTAGTGGAAAACATGACCCTGCAATTTTTACAAGGACTTATATAACTCTATACGGAGGAAAAGATACTTGTGGAAAGACTGATGCAAGTTTAACTGCTCATTCCCTTCATCCAGTTACTTCAGTCTCCCAGTTAATTCCCCAATATGAGCAATATTCTGTAACCACTTCATATTCTCTTGGAACACCTAACTCTGTTTATCACCTATATTCTGTTTATCAAAGGATTAAGTAAAAGTAATCTGCCTGATGATCTGTTTGGACAACTGAGTACAGATAGAGTACAGATATTATCTGAACCAGAAGTGGATACCACCTACTTAACTCAGTCTACTCCCTTGAGTACATAACAGGTACAAAATGGTATTCAGCCACGAAAGTCAATGTGCTGCCACCATGGCTGACTTAGCAAGCATTGTTTGCCCTTAGCACTGATCATCCCTTACTTAGGTGTTCTCCTATCATCTGAACTCACTTATCACAGTCCTTCCAGATGTCAGTTCATGTGTATCTAAAAGAAGGAGCAATATCTGATGCCAATCCAGGATAGAAATCCAGTTATTCTGAAGTTATCCATGGAAGCATCCCAAAGCCACTGTCTCAGACACAGGAAAGGAACCCTACCCTAAAACTCAGAAATACCCTTTTAATCTCCCCTTCATCATCACTCATACTCAGAAATTGAGTGTCCCCACTATAAAATGCATGCTTTAAGAGTTAAATCAATGATTCAGTCAGAAACTCTAAAACACTTTTCATCAGTAAATATTTGATGATCACAGTGTGCTAATGCTTGAAGCAGATCACAGTGGAACATGCAGGAGCAGAAACAGTAACAGCCTACACAGTTATTCAGTCTCAAATAATTTTGCTACCCATGCTGTTCCATCAAGACATACATATGGTAGGAGTTATGATCGTAAGACTAAGTCTGTTTTTCAGCTCTTTCCTAGTGTATTGCTAGAATTGGAAACATCATTGGAGACCAAGTGCTTCTGAAGCCTGCATACAAGTGTTTTCATAAGAAAGGCAAATGAAATGTTAATCTGAGCTATGAAATTTATAGTTTTCATAAGCAATTTCTCCCTCAATTTTTTCATCCTCAAAATAATAGACAAATTCATCTGTCTAGCAGCATCTTAACTGTCTGTCCTGAACCCAGGATAAACTGATCGACATATATAGAGGATGTGAAGATAAAAACCTCTGCACAAATTCCAAGGATTATTTTATACTACCATAATCACAATATTTTGTACTCCAATGTTCCCATAGTTAGCCTTTTCTCTTCAAGGATTTATACACATTTGGGGTTTAAAGATTAATTTGGGTATGATATTTCTGTCAGAAAGCTCTTAGTGCGGCAAATGACAATAAAAACTCATGTTGTCTTCATGAACTATAATAACTATCTAATTTTTTTTAAACGTGTCAGAGACACTTCCCCTGGCAATCCATAATTTATAAAACAGCTTTTAACACAAAAGGGAGGGCCAAAAGCAAAGGCTTATCTTGCATGCATAAATATTCTGGAATGTGGTCTGGTATCACACACAGACATACAGAGATTGCTCTGCTTGGTCTGACTCACTGTTCTGCTTTAGAAGAAAGAGGATACACAGTAGAGGAGAAGACACAGTAGTTATGTATAAAAGCGCCCAGGACAGAGACAAGACTGGAAGGTGAAGCTACAGAGAGGAGGATACTGTCAGGAGCCATGCTGCTGCTCCATACAGGCATGCTGGCAAACCATTTTCCCACTGTGTGTTCTCTTACTAAAGAATGGAAGTACAGTTGCTTGGGTATTGAAGGCAGACATAGTTGGACTTTGAAGAACCCCGTATAAATTATGAGCAGTCATATCAAAGAGGGTACCATTCAGCTTGCCTATCTAGACAGGTAGAAAGGCAGAAAAAGAACATGAATGTGGAACCAAACTGAGGAGATATTCCGTACAATCCCCAGAGTAAAGGCACTGACACTTGACCTTGCAAAGGTAGTTTAAGGACATTAAGAGTTGTTTGATTTAATGAAAATGTTCCCTAGGACACTAACAAAGCATGGGTTAAGCTCCACAGATGATACAGCCTATGAAGGAATAAATAAAAACAATCACCAGAGACAGGGAGCACACCCCATCACAATGGAGCTACCTTTCAGGAATTTTCCCCTGGCAGGACAGCTTCATTTTGCTATATAATAGTCCCTCATACAAATCTACAGAGAAATATTCTTCCAACTGGTTTTGAAACAGCTAAAAAGTAACCACCAAAGGAACACAACATTCTGAGCTGTCCCCATAACCTGTTTCTCTTCTTTATGGTCCCTTAATGTTCTTCAAAACACAGAGGATTGCTTTTCTTGGCTACATTTTCTTTTGCTTCTCCTCCAAGCCATCCTTGTGCAACTCAAGAGGCAGACTCACCAATGACTGGAACGATCCCACAAGACAGATTTCAGGATGATGCCAGCACTTGATACAGCAATAACTGCATTAATCACAGACACAGCAACTCAGAGCAGTTGAGCCTTACCTCCATACTGTGCTCATATCAGGCATTAGGTTCTGGGGAGCAGGATGATGGAGAACAGGGGGTATAAGTCAGAGTAAGGACTGACCTTGCAGCAAAAGGAGTAAATTAGTGTGAAATATCTTCAGGAAATAACAGCACAGGTGAATAGTTACCATTCAGCTGGCATCAATTTCCTATTTACCTGTCATTAATCAACTACAAGACTGTTGTTTTTCACATAAAATTCCTGATTTTTGCAACCTCTTAGCTTTCTCATGACACCTGAGTATTTTCTGTTACAAATACTGCATGGATTCTGATAAGTAAAGGTATATTTTAAAACTGCAGAAAAATACTACCAACAATGAGCAAGGAACCACAATAAAGGATACTGAAGCTCCTATCTGTGATTGCTAAATGCCAGAGGTTAATCCTGAGATCATCCGCTGACATATATGTCTCACAGTCACTGTTGACGGATATTGAGTTGACATGATAGGTGTGACCATTAGCAAAGATTCTCCGGGGAGTGACTTCTACCATCAAATCCATAGGTTTCAATACAGGCACCTGCCAAAAAAATTGAAACACAAACCAGAAAAGGAGTGAGATTTTAAGTAATTTTTTGCTAAGATAATGAGAGTTTCAATGGTGAGCAAGCATTCAAAAACTGTGACATTGTAAAACTTCTTCACAGTGTATGCACACTGAGTTTCTCTATGGAAAGACTGTTGGGCAAGACCATCCCTGCCAAGGAGAAAGGGAGAGACAGGAGACTCATGGAAAGCCAGGCAGAGCAATGGGAAGCCTGGACAGTGGGAAGGGAGGCACTGGCAGCTGCCACACAACAGCCCTGTCTCACAGCAGAAGCTCCTCTCTCACACAGGTGGGAGGCTCTGGCTTGGACAAGCAGTAATGTCCTAGTATGTTGCTTCTGCTAAAGAGTTTGCTGTTAGTTGTAAATCACCTAGAGCGTTTCTGTTGGTACTTGATGTCTCTTTCTCAGAAAAATGGTACAAAGCATAATAAATGAAGCCTTGGATTACAAAGCCAACAAGTGAATTGACACGCTGTACATAAACACATCCTCCTGGAAAAAAGACGACCACAGACTATCACTCATCATTGTACCCTCATTATTTCCCTCTGTCTCACTCCAACATCTTGCTTCAGTAACTAGAAGCTGTCAATTTATTACCTATTGGTAAAGCAGTAAACACTGTGAGGCTGTAGTCCATGATTGAGACTATACGATGTTGCTGAACACGCAACAGAAACGACCTATCATGTATCAGTTCACAAGATAGTTTAAAGAGGAACACAGAGAAGTTAAAGCTTTTAGTTTAGCTTGCCACTAAAGGAACAAAGCAATGGTTCCCTCAGCCTTTGAATTCTCAGACTGTAACCAATCTGGAATTGTATTGCCTGTCTAATCATACAGAACAGATAAATATTCCATGAATGTAGTCATCTTTACACTTTGGAGGCTTTTTTTCACAATAGACAATACTGGCGAGTATTGGAGATGGGGTTTAGTTGTTTGGTTTTAATAATAAAGAAATACTAGCAGTTATACAATGTAGCCTTTCGGTTCTAACCTTTAGCTAATTTCCTTGCCAAAACACCTGAGTGAATTCAGCCATTGAAGTCCGAGAGAAAATAAGCTATTACATTGTCATGTGGGTGTTGGTCTCTTCTGCCAAATAACAAAGAATAGGACAAGAAGGAATGGTCACAAGTTGCACCAGGTGAAGTTTAGGTTGGCTGTTAGGAAAAATCGCTTCACTGGGCAGCATTGGATCAGGCTGCCCAGAATAGTGGTGGAGTCACCATCCCTGGTGGCATTTAAAAGATGTGGCACTCAGGTACATGGTTGAGAGGTGAATCTGTCAGTGTTAGGTTTACAGCTGGACTAAGACCTCAAAGGTCTTCTCTATGGTCATATACACTTACATGAGTTCCATGACTGCATCTGAGAATGCATGAGGGGAGATTTAGATCAGATATTAGGAAAAAAGTCTTCACTATGAGGGTGCTGAGGCGCTGGGACAGGTTACACAGAGAAGCTGTGGTTGCCCCATTCCTGGCAGTGTTCAAGGCCAGGTTAGACAGGGTTTGGAGTAACCTCGTCTAGTGAAAGGTGTCCCTGTCTATGGCAGGGGGCTGGAACTAAATTAGCTTTCAGGTCATTTCCAACCCAAACCATTCTACGATTCTATGATCTGTTCAGCAATGCGGAGCCTCATGTTCACTGGAGTACAGACTACTACAAACCTCAAATAGGAGAAAATTCCTTTATACTACTGAAATAAGGATGTGGCTGAAATTTGGGGTACTGCCTTTAACTCATTTGCTCTGAATGAGGCAAGAATACTGTTTAATTACAGGTGGAATGCTTCCAACACACCAGGCTGAAGAATCTTGTGTGAAAGCACATTAATTCATGATGAGATAATATTGTCAGGAAGAGGAAAACTGACAAACTCTCTACATATATTTGTTTTAGTCACTGTATCATAAAGCATTTGTGACCTGAAAATGTACAACAGATTCAAGATCAGTCAGCTAAAACTTCAATGAGAATAATCATATATCAGCATTAGGTACATATTTAAATCTTTTACTCAGCACCCATGACTGCCACATTTGTACAGAAACAACTGGATTTGGGGGAAAGACAGCAGCTTACCTGCAGTGATGTTACTGTAGAAAGATCTTTAAGTTTCCCTTCTTCATCTTTTAAGTTGTACCCCTCTGGTCTCTTATCTCTTTCAGTAATTTTCCATAACTTGATTGTTTTATCTTTAAAAGCAAAGAAAAACAACTGTCAGCATAGGAATTCTGAATGTGGTTACTCACCTTTCACAATGTATTCTCTAAAGCAGATTCTGCACCTTAATTTAGACAAATCCGGTGCTAAACAGTCTGGATTACTTAGGTTTGCACATCCAGAAAATGCTGCCAACAGAAAAAATAGAGCACATTCTATACTGTCAAACTGAGTCAGAGGCTCCTGGCAGCTGACAGACCATGTAGAGCAAAAGTCGTTCATGTATCCAACTTGGCAGTTTACAGGTGAAACAGACAAAAAACCTCTCAATGCTCACTCCTGAAGCTCAAGCTGACAATTGACTTTGCAAGGAAATAATCTTGATATTAAAGCCAGTTTGCTAGGTTACTTATGAACAGCATGAGAAGAGCATGGAGTAGACAGACAAACCACAGATACCTGCCTAGCCCATTGTGGGAATGGGCAGTGATAAATTGGGGTAACATCAGGAGCCCCAGCAAATGAAAGGTTGTTTGAAAAAGGAGACATTTCTCCCTCCTAAGGGAAAGGAGTTGAGAACTGAAGGAAAAAAAACAGAGAGAACTGCATTGTAAGGGTAAGAAAGAGAAGTTGGGAGAAAAATACACTAATCTTACAGGAATGGAATTAAATCTAAACTCTCCGTTTTTCATGGTGGGTGAAACATAGTATAATGATGCCTCTATTTAGCAAAGAGCCTGTGAAGCCAACAAAAAGAAGTTTTAAACATTTCAGATGGAGTTTCTTTTTTTTTTTGTAGTGGCTGAAATGCAAATCTCCCTAACGTTGATCGTCCACTCCCACTCTGGACGTGCACCGAACTGCCAACCCTAACACTCCCTAGACTGAAAAAATCAATGCCAAGTCTTGTAATGAAAAAAAAGTCTCCCAAACTTCCAATGGTTGTTTAACTCATCTGTTCATGGGGTAGCCAAAGCCCTTCCAAAGCTACTGCGGTTCAGTTGCTACCACAGCCTTCATTTGCCTCAGTTTCTGCATCATGTCTGGTTTTATCCCACTTTCTTTTCCCCTCTTTACCCAAGTACACAGCAAAGAATAATTATTTTTCCAGTGTAGCTGGTCCAAATGCTTCTTTCAAATGCTAATACAAATCATTTTAAAGGCAGGACATATGAATACATGAACCACTTTGCACTTCTATAGCAACTTTAACTTTGCCCTTTTCTGTTTCAAAATCAATCCCTTTGGTACTCTGAAGACTTTCACTATTATGCACCTACTAACAATATCAATACATTAATTTTCAAGCAACAAAAACATTACAATTGATCAATCTACAGAACAAGAGATCATTTCAATCCACAACTAAAATGCTCCATTTAAGCATTAAAAAAATTCCATTTATATCAGTCATTTTAATTAATGGATAAAAACACATGTCAGCTGTCATTTTGGGGGATTTTTGTTACATGTAAACAGTGTATTCCTGTTTATAAATTATCATTTTATAAATTTTATAACTTATTATAATATACTTATATTTACAAATATATTTATTTCTGTTTATTTATAAATGTTTATTTTAGAATTAATATAAATATATAATTGTAAGTCTAATTATAAATTTATTTATAAATATATATTATAGATATATTTAGTATATGTACTAATTTATAAATAAATTCTAAATTTTATAAACTATATTTTTATTAGAAATTTATAAATACAGCAATTGTAAGATTAATTATAAGAAAAAACACATTGTTGGACTTGACTGCTATTGATAAATCTGCCCTTTTCCTGAGTGAGAACTATTTCATTAGTGATGGAGGGGATTGCATGTGTTAGTTTTCTTCTCTTTCATCTGCCTCTGCACTTTAAATATTCCCTAGAAATTCTGAGCATGCTTATATTCTGCAATATATAGAACCATCTGTAAGGCTCAGTATTCATTCAGTCTCAAGGGTGCTGTGAAGTTTAAATTAATTAATGTTTTGTAAGGAGTCTCAAATTCTCAGATGAAAGAATCTGTAAGGGCCAAATTCTGATCTACCCCACATAGCTCACATTGAAAGTGGCTCAAATGTATTCTGCCACAAAGGATACTACCGAATCCTAATAATTTATTATTATACTACAAAATCAGTTCAGTTTACAGTGCAAACCAGAAACTTGCTTGCTGCAAGCAGTGCAAATCCACAGTGGGATTTGAAATCTATGGTGATTTCTTTCTGTTGCCATCAAATCAGCTGATGACTTGCTGGTAATACACAAACTGGAAAGAAACCAAAATCCCCTCTGAGAGAGGTGACCTGTCCAGAAACAGCCTCAGCAAAGGTTCTCCTTTTAGAAGGACAGAAACAGATTTGGGCAGGTGAAGACCTCTCAACTCTCCTACAGTGAGGGTGAGATTTAGATGGACTCTCTCCTCATGTTCCCTAACAGAGGGTGCCTATTCCAGCAAATGTCCAACTGTGCCAGCCGGAAGGAAAGATGATGTTTCACAGTTCTCATTTTTCTGACCAAAACTGTGCTTTAGATCCTAAACTACAGGAGAGCAAAATAACAGGAATTGCATTAAAACATGAAGCTCTGAAATTAGTAAATATAAACCAGTACTGAAGATATTTCTACAACTTGTCCAATACTAGCATGTGTGATGGCAATGCCTTCATTCTCTACAAGTTAGGGAAAATACTATTATCCTTTTTTACAGGCATGGAATTGATATACATTGTCAATGACTTCTCAGGGGTATTCCGTGAGACATCAAGGAATTCAGCATGGGCCTTCTGTATCCTAAATTTAAAGCTATCTTTAAGAGTACACCAAGAGGAGAATCTTCAGACTTCAACCCTGCTGTGCTAGGAAGACAGGAATCCTCCTTGGCACACAAAAATGTTTTGTGATTCAAACCCAAATCCAAAGGCTCTGCCAGTGGCACCACTTCTGTTTTCCTCACCATAAAGGTGTCTGCTAGGATGCTCCAGAATTAAGAAAGGGGAAAAAGAGAGACCAAAGTATTTTGCAAGGTTTTAGGCTTGCACAGTGTTGGCTGCAACTGGATTAAGCCATAGCAACACTAAGAGTGATTATTTCTTTGTTTCTCCACTCTTGTACTTCTCAGTTTCCAAAAACAAATTTTAAAATTAAAAGGGAGAGGTTTACTTTTAATAATATGCACTATTATAGGTGTAATGGGTTAAAACTTAAACAGGGGGAGTTTAGCTTGGATATAAGGAGAAAGTTCTTTACTGTGAGGGTGGTGAGGCACTGGAATGGGTTGCCCAAGGAAGTTGTGAATGCTCCATCCCTGTCAGTGTTCAAGGCCAGGTTGGACGAGGCCTTGGGTGACATGGTTTAGTGTGAGGTGTCCCTGCCCATAGCAGCGGGGTTGGAACTAGATGATCTTAAGGTCCTTTCCAACCCTAACTGTTCTATGATTCTATTAATTTTGTATCATGCACTTGTAATAAGGTGTTCTTAAAGTTGTCATAAGTAGAACAGATATTTTGACCAAGGGAAACGTGCAGCAGTAAACTCCCAAACTTTGTAAGTAGCTGACTAATCTTTCAATTAGCACAAATCACATAGCTATAACAGATATGTTTCATTTCAAATATTGCAACAGTGTCCCCTGAAAGTCAAAAGACAACTTGAAGTTTCCTTTAACAAGTCTGTTAAGGAAAACAGAATACAAAACATAAAATTATTTACTAATTATTAATGCAAATATTAGTTATTGCCATAAATTTTAGCTAGAAGCAATCATTTTGCTCTACAGCATCAATTCACAAAGTGAGATTACACTACTTCTATACCAGCAATTTCGAATTATGCTGAAACGTCACAAGAAAAAGTCTTTTCTGTTAAAAATTATATCCAACGTTTAAAATTTAAAATATTATTTTCAACAGCAATGATAGAGGTTGTGGGTGTCAATATGTTCAAAATGTTTCCTAACTGACACCTGAACAGGTTGGGCTCCATTCAGTTTTCTTCCTGCTATGTCACATCTGCATATCCCCTCTGAGGGGAACCACTAGGCTTTAAGCATGCTAGAAAGATGAGTCAGGTTCAATACCCTAGCATTGTTACTACTGCCTTCCAAAGACTTGTGTAACTCCTTAGAACTCAACCATTCTAATGATAATGAATGAAAAGAAAAAGAAATTTACCTCTTATCTACATTCATTTCCACATCTACAAAGAATAAAAGTTATGACAAATGCAGCAGACAAAACTCTAAATCCCCTGTGAAACACAGCTGCTGAGTAAGGCAATGCCCTTGTCGTACTACAGGATAGCACTGCATGTTAGTAACAAAAATTGATAGCTCACTGAATGTTTACTATGGATAATCACTAGGAAAAACCCTATGGCTATGAATAAAATACATAAATAACAGACATACGAGTCGGTATGACAGTCTTGGTAAACTCTGTAAGAGGGAATTACTAAACCACCAGATTAAAATGAACAAATATATACAGTCAGCACTAAAATGCACAGGAACAAATAGGCTTATATGTCCTGCATTCTTTCATCTATCTTACCATTTGTTGATAAAAGTGAGTGAGCTGCATTTTGTTGTGGTAACCACTTGATCTTGTTTATTTTTTCTTCTATCTCCAAGCTCTTCAAATAATCAAATTCAGGTTCATGGCTCTGGAAAGTGCTGTAAACATTGTACTCCCCCTGATTGTAAGGCTCATTTTTACTCTACAGAGAATAAAAACAACAAAAACATATGGTTTATGATGGCAATATATCTCCATCTCTTAGGAAAGGTGCATAAGCAGCCCTATAAATATAAAAATATTGAAAGTTTAATTTAGTCTCTCATCCAAAAAGTGATATTGACAGATTTGTGTCTACAGAAATGAAATTTCCTCTAAGTATTGAAGCAACATTTAATAAAAGGCAGCATATTCAAAGAAACGTCAATTATTTAGAAAAACTTTCTACAAGAGAGATTGAAAATGTGAAACATAAAGATATTACAGCAGAGGCACTGTTTTAAATGGAATGGCTCCATCAAACAGGCTAAAGCTACTCAAATGATGTAGAAGTAAAATAAAATCAGCTTTCTTTGTTCTTAGCTTAGAATTTTAGAGCTTTAATGCAATGTTTGTTTGGATTAACAAACTCCCGAGTATAAGATCCTTACCCACATTCACTTCCTCTCGAAAGTGGTGACATTCTGTCTTACAGAATCTTGAGATCACAAACAGGTCTGTTAGTTAGATTCAATCAAAGTATTAAAAATAAAGCCAGGTTTTAGCAAGTTAAGGACTACATGGGTAGCTCACATACCTCAGGTTCCCTTTGGAATATAACAACCCGACCCCCCTTGTCACCAGTAGCCAGCAATTCTCCAGTGTGGTTGAACTCAACTGTAGAAATAATATCAGCTGGAAGGAAAAAGAAAGAAAAAAAGGCAAATTTTAGATAGCAACACAAAGCCATTAGAAATATCAAGCACTCCACAAAAATGCAACAAATGAGGGACTTGAAGGAATACAGATAAATTCAACAGAAAGTCACTAATGCAAACAGGCTGCATGCCATGACAATCTGAGGTTGCTACACAGTGAAACAAGTGCAAACATAATGATGCAAATTTGTGTTTCCAGCACATCTGCAGTTTGGGAGTGGAAAGATCTCTGGAGAGGTTATGTTTCAATAAGAGCGATTTCAGCCTGCTACAGAGCTTTTCTTCAGTACTGGCAATAGCAACAGCATTGGCCTCCAGCTATTTCCTCTAGCAAAGACCAACACAACATCTCAGTCATAGAATCATAGAATAGTTAGGGTTGGAAAGGACCTTAAGATCATCAAGTTCCAACCCCCCTGCCATGGGCAGGGACACCTCGCTCTAAACCGTATCACCCAAGGCCTCATCCAACCTGGCCTTGAACACCACCAAGGATGGAGCATTCACAACCTCCTTGGGCAACCTACTCCAGTGCCTCACCACCCTCCTGTTGCATGTATTATTTATACTTCACCCTTTACAAAGGTTTTAATGTAACCTCCTAGCACGTTTTCTCAAGTATGTGTTTGAGCTAAGAGTGAAAAGTAAAGGAGATGCAGTCCATCCTGCCACACAGGAATAAAAGCAAAACCAGAACTGCTTACTGTGCAATGCCGGCAAGAGCCCATTCAAATCACTGGGTTTGGTAACTCATTTCAGCCCCATGAAAATGTGTCACCAGAAGATAAAAAGATGCCAGTCTCTTCTTTTATTAATTTCCAATATCTCCCTTTCCCCAAGCAATTGCATCAGCTTAAACAAGAAACCTCATCAAAACCTCAGGCCAGTTTTGAGTACAAATTACTACACATCAGGATGAGAAGGAAGAAAGAGACTGTAGAAGCAAAAGAACTGGTTCTTCTGTTTGTATGACAGTAAATGCTAGAATCATAATCTACAGTTAATCCTACAGTATTAGCAAAATTTGAATTAAAATGCCTAGTGCAACAGTAAATTAAGAAGCCATCATATATACAATCACGAACAAATTCGGGGTATTACTCAGAGATTGCATGTATGAATCCTCTGTGATGATCAGCATCCACTCATCAGGAATGTGGGCCAGATTTTTAGAAGCATCAGTAGTTAGCAGCTCCCCTTTAGGCATGAAATGCTGTGGTTTTCAAACACATTCATCATCCGTCAGTTTATACTGAGAACAATGAACCAACAGTGGGCTAAGCTCTTTTGAAAACCTAGCCCTAAATGAGTTCACTAAATTTCAAAGGAATTGAAATAACAAGTGGATGAACCATTTACTTTCTACATTTTATGAATTGAAAACATCTGTTCCCATTATTCTTTTAATAAACTTGCATTTGAGTGTTAGAAAGATTCTGTTGCCAGTAGCTCTCATCAGCAACACAGCCATTCAAAGCCAGATTCTTACTGAAACATTATAGACAATTTGTCATCTAAAAAAGGAAAACTTTATTCATGGTAAAATACCTTTCATTTTTTTAAGAGATCTTCACCATCACATTGCTCTTTCTAAAAGAAAACCAACAAAACCAAATCTGCCTCTTTTTCCCCCTCCATGCCTTACTTATATAAAGGAGGAAGGGGAATCATAAAGTATGTATGTCATTTTCTTTCTTGATGAATAAAATATATGGATGTATAGACTTTGAGAAAAATGGAACAAGATGACTTACAATATTTTGGGTCTGAACCCAAAGCTCTCAAAGTTAATAGCATCTGATTTTTATGTGGGCTTCCACAGACTGTGTATTTTATAGGTAATAAAATAAAAACCCTAAAGCCCTACTCTTATTAGAGTACAGGAAGATTACAGAGACTCTGCTTATGGTTGACAATGCTCTGGGACTTGGGATGGGTTGAGTTTGAATTAAAAAATGGCATTTTTTTTTTTAATCTAAAAATCTAATCAACTTTTTTGGCATGTTCATCTATAGTGCTTCCAGTGGAAGAACGTTTCTTGGCTATTTTGTTCTTACTCTGTAAAATTCATACTGACAACAGTTGTGGGCTCCTGCTTATAAAAGAATACCTGCATGATTTTACTAATTTCCAGCTCTATCTTACCTCAGCCATAAAGGCAGAACTGAAGACTCATACTGACACTCCTTTTAGAATGGAGTCTCGTATCTTAAGTGTGCAATGGAGGAAAAGGGTAAATACAGAGGGGAGGAATGTAGGATCTGTTAAAATACATGTGTATCTGTGTGTGTATGCATGGCATGTGTAATGCTTATGTGACTTTCTCAACAGGTCACAAAAGAATCATATAGAATAACCACGCAAAAGGAATGAACGGCACTTGAATTTGTATGCGTGAATACACTTGCTTTTGACCTGGAATACTTCCACCATGGCAGGAATGGTCACAATGGTCACAAAATACTAGACTGCATTTTACAGAGGGTATCAGCCAACACCCAGTAAGGTCCACAGAAGCATCTGCACAGACTTCAGTAGTAACTGAACTATGGTTATAATAAAACAGCTCTGCATTTTGTTCTTATATTGCATTTGTCATTAAAATATTGTCTGCAGTTAAGTGATTATTCCTTAAAGAAAAGCAGCTAAAGCATTAAGTATCTGTGGGCAGTGTAAGCAATGATGTTCTGAGGCAAAGTTCTCTCCCCCTCAAGGTGTTTCTTCCAGCTGTATCCCTCCTTTCTATTAGAAAAAGCAATTCTGAACTGAAAGCTACCTATCATTCTTAAATTAACTTGTTCTGAAAAAGAGCAGATCCAATATTCCAACCTCAGAGGCTATGCAGCTTGCTGGTAAAAAATTATCCTTGAATTGAAAATCACTTTTATTGATCCTGTAAATAACAGCTGAAAACAACAGCAAAAAATATATAATCTTATCCAGCTTATCTGTTCAGCAGGCAAACATTAGTCATGCTGCTTTCATAAGAAAGATTAGCCAGTCTGCCTCTTCCTGGGACAGAGGAGGTAGGAAAAGAATCAATCAACAAAGCCCTCCATACCTTCTACAGAACATTCCCCTATATATTTATTAATGCTGCAGCAGCATCAGCCACTATGGTACCATCTTGCAGATTCTTCCATTGGAGAACGGCCCCCTGACTGTACAGAGCAATTAACTACCAGATTTCACCCTGCCCAGGATATATAAATGCTCCATAATGGAAGCGCTGTTGAATTTGCATGTACAGTAAGCCCTTGGCAAGGGATGGAAGAGATGAAAGGCTCCTGTGAGCCTTCTGCACTACACGTTCCATATCTCTGCTGGCAGTGCCAAGCTTTGCACTAACGAACAGGATTATCAGAGACAGAGATAATTTACCTATTAAGAACAATTATGGGTAACCTCAATGCCAATGGGCAAACATTTCCAATCAGATTACAAATCCCAACTTTTGTCCAGTATTAATCTTCCTATTCCATTCTTTAATTCCCCATTTTTTCTATGCAGAAATATATATATATAAACTTGGATTTGAAAGTTGCCATGCTCAGCATTTTCACTCAGTTAAAGAGCACAATTTGGACACTCAAACTATAGATAACTGACTTAGAAAAGCAAACCAAAAACCTTCAAAATATTAAAATACTCCAGGGGGGTACACACCTGGTCATCTGTTTCACATCCTGCACAGTAAATTGGTCCAGTAGGTACAACACATTATAAACTTAATTCTCCAGACTAATGTCACATATTCGCAGAAAGACATCACACAAAGGTATCTGTAGCTGATTGTACTGCTCTTCCCTCAACTTCATGAGTATTTTCCCAGAATGGATACAAACCCTTCAGCAGCCCTTCCTCTGGCTCAGCATGGGGTGGGGTGAAACAAAAGTTGGTACTCACAGCTCAGATTAATTCTGGCCTTTATTTCACACAATCACATACTTGCAATGTTCATTTTCTAGCCTCTTACAGGATTATCTTAAGGGGATTTAATACCTTATTCCTATACAACACAAGTGGGTCCAAATGCTTTTACGGTAATTAAAGCCTTATCTACATAATAAAACTTTGCATCATTTGGGGCACTCTAGCATAATTGCATGGCATTTTCCACCAAGTATACGCTCAGTGAAGCAAAGTCTGAACATACTCATCTTTATACAGTCTTTTGTCAGAAACTTCAAGCAACTCTAAGAAAAACTCAACTACAATTTTCCAATTTACTAATGATTTCTAACTTTCTGGGGCTTTCCATCTGAAGGTCCTGGTATAATGTTGTCTTGCATCAGAAGATCAGGAAATCAAAGAAAATTTCAAAACTCTTTCACCCAGCACAGAAATGGAGCTTTTTGGACAGCAGTAGCAAGGTTTGAGGGCAAACATCACACAAGGGTACAGTTATGATGGTTTAAGCCTAGCCAGCAACTAAATACCACTCAGTCACTCACTCATCAGGAAAAGAGGGCAAAGAAGATCAGAGAATATAATATTTTGTTGAATTGCAATGTAATCTTGATAAAGAATTAAGGGATTTGGAATGGGCCAAAACAGTGGAATTAACATCTGTACTTTTATTAAAAAAGAAAAAGCGGTGAAATCCTACCAGCTAGAACAGGACAGAACTTCTCCTTTCTGTCACATCCACCACAAACAGCATGGCAACACTATCGGCCTGAACTGACTGAATCAGTATCTAGGTCAGGTATTTGTCGCTGTTGTGTTCCCAATGGCCAGCAGGCAATCTTGTAGTCTATGTTATTTCAACCAAGTTCTGACCTAGCCTAACCTTGGTTTGTGAAATCCAATACGATCACAGCACAATCTGGCATGGCTGCAAGCAATGTTCAGTCATACTGATACAAAAATCCCTGAGGAGCATAATCTGGAAGAAACAACAAAGATGGCTGCAACAAAGAGAGCCATAAAACAAAAGGACAAATGGTAGATGAAAGAGGAGTATTATGGTATCTG